TTCAGTAGTACAGTAGTCACACGAGCCATTAAACCATGGACCCAGCTACACACAAAAGCCTTACTGAAGAACAACAACAAAACAGATTGTTTAAAAAGTCTGATTTCCTTTAAGCAGTATCAATACATAGGAGGCATGAAATAGTTGAGATCCATCAGTTGCAGTGGCTCATAAGTCATAATGGGGTTTAGCTACATTCGGGCACCATTTGTTTCCAGCAAAGAAAGGCATTTATTTCAAACGGTATCATGGCTCTTCCTAATGGAGAGTAGGAGAATGCTTCGTATTCTAGGTAGTGTGACAGAACTGGATCCGTGCTGATTTGGCTCAAGTTTAGTAACTATCTTTCAATTTAAGATGTAGAAGACATGGATAGGATAGTATTGCTAAGTTAATTCGACCAAGGCAACTCTCTCCTGTCACTCTGCTAATACATTGATCCATAATCATATTGTGTTCCCTGAAGTGGTTAAAGGCATGATGTAGCCTAAGACAGGTAAGTGTAGATACTGCCCACTGCAACAGAAGGCAGTTCAAAATGATGTCCGTATACTTCAGTTCCAGAGAATACAACAGGACAAGGACATATTATGCTATATACAGGGGTTTTAAGCTTTAAGAGGGATGTGGTGGCACTGCGGGCTAAACCGCAGAAGCCTGTGCTGCAGGGTCAGAAGACCAGCAGTCGTAAGATCGAATCCACGCGATGGAGTGAGCGCCCGTCGCTTGTCCCAGCTCCCGCCAACCTAGCAGTTCGAAAGCATGCAAATGCAAGAAGATAAATAGGGACCACCTCGGTGGGAAGGTAACAGCGTTCCGTGTCTAAGTCGCACTGGCCATGTGACCACGGAAGATTGTCTTCGGACAAAACGCTGGCTCTATGGCTTGGAAACGGGGATGAGCACCGCCCCCTAGAGTCGAACACGCATATATAAAACACACTGTGTTCTCCTGTGAGTAGAGCCAGCCTGTGTTAAGAACCTGGCAGATGACATGTTACAGCCCCAGCCTCACAAAATCATGAATATTTGTTCTGACAGCGGTATTTATCATTTTGGACGTTCAAGATTTGCAATACATTGTAAAGGTCACATGACACTCTGTCCAGTAATTTCTCAAAAGTGTAGGCAAGAAGTTCATAATATGTGCCCCTCGTGTACCCTCACAGTCCTCCCATTTTTTCCCAGTGAATCAGAAAACCCCTTTGTGCTATTCAGAGGGAACAGAGGCTTTAAAAAATGATTTGAGGCAGCGTTCCTGCTCTCCCACCCTCTTTATTTTTACTTTTTTTGTGTGCCACTGGAGACTGGCAGAGGACTTTTAAAGTTGCAAAAACAGGGGTGGCAACCTGATGCCATGCATGTAAGGTTCTATAACCTGCTGCAGCTGACACATTTGAGAAGATGCTGGGTTATGTCTTGGTTGCTTGCCTACCAATTCCTACCATTTTTGCAATGTTTTGGGGGTGGGAGTAGTTAGAGGTCACGAAGATGCACAGCTCATGCTCTGGTGTATGTTGGAGAATTACGATTACAGTGGTGCCTCGCAAGACGATTTTAATTCGTTCAGTGAAAATCGTCATCTTGTGAAAAAAAGTCTTTATTTATTTATTTATTTATTTATTTATTTATTTATTGGACTTATATACCGCCCCATAGCGCTATAAGCACTTTCCGGGCGGTTTACAATTTAATTATACAGGCTACACATTGCCCCCCCAGCAAGCTGGGTACTCATTTTACCGACCTCGGAAGGATGGAAGGCTGAGTCAACCTTGAGCCGGCTACCTGGGATTTGAACCCCAGGTCGTGAGCACAGTTTTAGCTGCAGTACAGCATTTTAACCACTGTGCCACGAGGCTCATGTTTCCCCTATGGGAACATTGCAAGACGAATGAAATTTAGTTGTCTTGCGAAGCATCGACCTCGGGGGGGGGGAACCGTCTTGCGAAGCACGGCCATAGAAAAAACTGTCTTGCGAGGCACCATAGCGATTGCGAAAACTAATCATCTTGCGGATTAATCGTCCTGCAAGGCAATCGTCTTGCGAGGCACCACTGTATTTTTTATACAGTCAAAAGAATACGAGGTAAGGAAAACTCCCCCTGCAGCAGCAAGAAAATGTGAGAGAATTAACCCAAGTATACAGTCAAAAGAATATGAGGTAAGGAAAACTCCCCCTGCAGTAGCAAGAAAATGTGAGAGAATTAACCCAAGTTTCAGCACAACACTTCCTTTCACAGTAATTAGCAGTATATATTAATAAAAATCACTCTTGAAGCATTTTACAGTAGGTAGAAAAATAAGTATCCTTTCTCACAGTTATGATCTGCAGTTACAGTCCGAGGAATAAAAAGAAAAAAAAATGGAGTCTCTACCAAGTGGAAGAGAGAGATCCATCCATGCTTGCTACATGGTCAGATGAAGAAAAAAGAAAAAAGAAAAGAAGGCCCATCAATAGCACAAACAATAGAAATAAGCAAACAAAACAAGAAAGGGAGGTAGGCTTCCCTTTAGTGTCAGAGGCAGGAAATAGTATTTTACTAATATGTTAATGGCAAAGAACAATCACTTTAGGTTGTGATACCCAGTGTTAGCGCATGGGAGGTTTAATTATGTCACCAATGTAGACATTTAGAAACTTTGAGTATGAAATCTTGTGGGTGATATTGATCTGTTGATAACTGTATTCTTCTATTCCACATGCAAGCTTAGACTTTAATGTTGTCTTCTTTGCACTCATAAAAACACAGCTTCAGAATATTATTGATATTATTAATACTTTTTATTGTATCCTTTTATTACACTGACTAGAACGCCAGAGTTCAAAGATGTTGGATGCTAGTATAAAAATAATCCAATACTCTGAAATTATATTTTGGAACTACAGTAGTATATAATTAGTGGAGGCTGCAAATAAGATACAATTTTAAATAACACTGTTGAAAATTAACATAAACAAAACACTCAGAAGTTATGTTCACAGATATGCAAAGCTGAAATCCAGAACAATGTACAATAGATAACCACAAGTCAGCTAATGATACATTCAGAGTCATCATGAAGACAAATAACAAGCCTCTGTCCTTGTTTCAAAAGAAATGGTAGACATTATGTGCTGTTCTGCCGGCTGCTATGAAAGCACTAATGATGAAAGAGACTTACTTTCGGTTGTCCTAAAAGGGGGGGGGGGATTAAATAATTTATGAGACTGCATTGAAAACAAACTGCATTGTTAAGAAACATACATTGGATTCTGTGTGATCATTTTTCTTCCAAATACTGAACAGAAGTGTGCAACAGAGGTATATCTTTCTAATACGTAAGCTTTATAAAATTTCTCAGGTTTTCCTTGACACCCCATAGAACTTTTTATGTAGTAGACTGGGCCATGTTCTTAAGAAGGATATGCAAATATAATTACAGGCCAAATAAATGTTTCAGACCCATGGACTTTGAAATCTTAGATATATCTCACATGATAGTCCCACTTGATTTTATGGCACTGACTTCGCAGAAGTACACAGCTTCATATCTTTGGCCTAAAACAAACCAGTAGTTCCAAGTATTGCCTCAATAAAAACAATTGCTGAACAGTAAATCGACACTTGTAATAAATCTCATTGTTTTACCGGCTCTATACTAATTGGGATTCACAGCTGGATTTTGCAACTTGGTTACTTTGCAAAAATATTGTATTATCCACTGGTTCACGCTCGAATGATGTCCAACCCAGATTTTGCCAGAAACCATCACATTCAGAACGTGATTTGGGGGTGGGTGCGGGAGACATGCATGATAAATCTATAATCGAATAAGTAATTGATAGTTTTAAACCAATAAGACAGAGAAAGTCATTCACATTGAAAGGAAGGACAGTCCAAATGTCAGCCTAAGATGCTCCAGGATTGGAGCATTCCTACGTTTCCCTGCCAGATTCCCCTAGACCATAAGGGAGGGAGCATGGCATTTGCTTCTCTCTCTCTCTCTCTCTCTGCATATATAAACTGTTTTGAGATCAGAACCCAACTGTATATTAACGCCTGCATAAATGTAATGAGATAATTCAGAGCAGCAAATTGCTGTCAATTAACAAGTCCCCGATCTAATTCCTACATACGTGCCAAGTTATGCAACTGGTACACTACTAGGAATTCCATCCTAGACTCATTCATGAGCACCCATTGAGTTATGCAATAACACACAGGTATAAATATTCAACTGGATTCTGTCCATTATTTCCCTGCCATTGCTAGCAGTAAGAGGGATACATTTAACTCATCTCCAAGGCTGGTCTAACTCCTTCCCTGTGTGGGGGTGTCCAGAGGCTAAGAGGGCATTAGACACTGCACATCCAGAATATCCCTTGTTCTGCCCTTATCTTGCCACCCATTCCAACCCCAATGTTAGAAACAGAAGGAACTGTGGGAGCAGGGAGAGAGAGATGAAAGTGTGGATGAAACTCCTCTAAAGTCAGACCTCTGTCTCTGATCATGGAGGGGGCCCTTCTGATCCACCCTTTGGCCTCTTGGATACCATTGCAATATGAGCAATATACCATGGCCAGACTGCTGACAGAACTCCTTTCAGAGTCTGGATGGCATGATTTCTGAAACTGCCAATGAACATCTGGTCTGAGCTCAAGGGATGAGGTATCACTCCTTATAGATGCCTAGTTGCCCATTAAGACCTGTTGGAGAGGCCGTCCTCTCCAACGTTAACACCATTTCAGTGCTGGAGCCTGCCTATTTACCCAAGGGTAGAGGGATCTTGGCTTGAGTAGGCTTCAGAGCTTTTGTGATGTGTATAGCTTAAATTGCATAATCATTTCATGTTCCTTTAAATTCTTTGAAATAATTTTATATAGTTCTTAAAATTTTATTTTAAAATTATTTCAAAGAATTTAAAGGAACATGAAATGATTATGCAATTTAAGCTATTTAAACCATACACATCATGAAAGCTGTGCAGCCTACTCCAGCTAAGATTCTTCTACCCCCGAGGCCCTGGTGAACACTCAGGTTACCACCTAACACTGAAATGGTGTCAACATTGGCTTCTCCAACAGGTCTTAATGGACAGCCAGGCATATCTAGGGAGTGATGGTTCATCCCTTGAGTTCATATTTTAAAGGCTGGCTGTGGTTTAGGTACCTAGATGTGAGGCCAGAGGTTGGGAGTTTGATTCCACACTGTGTTCTCCTGTGAGTAGAGCCAGCCTGTGTGGCCTTGAGCAAGGTGCACAGTCCCAAGGAGGTTCCTCCCCCGCCCCCCAAAAAACCACTTCAGAGAATTCTTGACCTGAAAAAGGTCAACATAAGTCAGAATTCACTTGACAGCTACTGCTGATATAGTTTAAAATGATAACTTATCTATTATTACCTCTGTTCTTGTACTTGTGATTCGTATTGGGTGAGATAAATATTATAAAATGAAAATGAATTGAAGGGATTATAGGACTGCAGCCTCAACAAATTAATAAATGCCTTCAGGTTTTGCTATTGCTTGTTCCTCTAACAGCAGAATAGCACTTTGCAGACATTCTGCCCAGGGCACATTATTCATATTTTAAAGGTACACATCCACAAAAAATACGTATCGGTATTAGATCATGACGACTTCCCCCAAAGAATCTCGGTGCTAAGGCCCCTCAGAATTCATTGTAATGACTTTCTAGTTCCACAAACAGAAATGGAATCCTAGGTTCCCTATTAAGCTTGTTAAGTCTGCAATGCAAGTATAAATAAAAGTGTGCAGCTGTCCAATTATGTCCGGCAACATTTTTTGTCAGCCGAATGAACTGGCACTTTTTGTATAGAAATGGGCCTATGGTGGTTGGCTGTTCTTACCTAAAACAAAAGTCCTCATTCTAGGGCCATCACCGGAAGGGATGGTTACAATACACACTTGGATGTGGACTTCTGTGTGTGCATGAACACCCCAGGAAGACGGCTGGTGCTATTAGCAGATGATGTTGCAGCTGAATGCATTGGCCATCTGTCAGGCATTATGTTTGCAGATCGTATGCAACAAGAGAATGTAAACAGACCAGATCTACATACTGGGTATTTTCTCCGAGGAGGGAGTTACCCCAAGGACATAGTCCTTCTGCTATGAGAAGGTCAGGAATCCTAGCCAATTTACTGCAAATCAGCCAGTGACCCCAATCTATCTTTTGTGTGCACCTGCCACAGAATATTCAGGTATCAAATTCTGATTGGGACTTTTCGCCATCAGAAAATCTACAAACAAGAAGCTAAAAGGAGGGTTAGCTTAGGAACACAAGATGTCAAGCCATCTTGCTTCCCGATTGACTTCTCCCATGGCTGATCTTTTAAAAACTCTCCATCTTTAGCATTATCTCCATACCTACATGATGAACTGGGATGGAGTAAGTCTTGTAGGAGTGGAACACACTTGCCGCAAGTTGTTCTAGAGCACGAGAATGAACACACACAATCGTAATATGGAAGGTCACGAAGAAGGAAAAGGCCACGGTTGCCCATAAACGACAATGGCTAATGTTCATAACAAACATGGATATGGTCTACAAAGAAGGAGGAAAAACAAAGGAAAGCAACGAGCAGCCTTGATACTGGCTCTGAACATAACAGAATGACAGTACAGATCATGATGGAAGAGGACACATTATTTTGTATCCTGGACTCTGCATAATCCACAAGGATGCTCTGCCCATAGGCCACCTTTCTGGGCACATGCCCATTATTAATTGAGCAGCTCACTAGTACCTAAGAATAGATACCTAGTGGTAGAGAAATGTCTCTTTCCACAAACTTCATTCCAGACAGTTTTGCATATATGTTGAGCAACACTAACACAACACTAGATATTATTTGTAAACACAATACACCCTAGTGGCATAAGATTTAGAGTGTCACCCACAGTGTTAGTTTTGCTTTCGTGATCTATTATCAAATTCATGTAATACAACACAGTTAGTGGTGAGGAAAATATTCGGGAACACACGGAATTCCGATCGCGCTTCTTGCTTGTCTCTCCAACCAACCTGCACGCTGCCTTCTTCTTTACACCTCTCTTTTGTTTGCTGTTCAACATCAGCTAGAAATGGTGCCTGCCGCTGCTGAGTTTCACTCTGGAAGGGTTCAAAGTCCCCTTTCACTATGTCACTGGGACTGCATCTTGGTTGTCTTAATGACAGTGCACCCAGGAAACCAGTAGCCACACGTGGAGTGCTTGCTCTTGGATTGCCTTCCTTCGGTTTCCTTAAAAGTAGTCTCTTCGTCTGCTGTCGTCACTAATGAAGGAAGGGTTGTATTGACCAGGGTAGATGCAGGAATGTCGGGACCCTGGAAGACCAGTGTAGGGTGGATAGATTCCATTTCTTTCTAGCTCAGGGTTCCTTAGATTGGTTGGCTAGAAAAAGGGAAGGACATAATCATTCACTAATTACTATTCTTTTAAAATGAGAATTCAACCTTAAGTGAAGACGAGAACATTATTATGAAATCAAAACAGAAGGTAGGCAAAGCAATAACGACCAGTGTTTTTAATAATTACCACTACTTTGCATAGCGAAATTCTTTCACTTTAATTAGGCTTCAATCTCTCTAATCCCGCTAAAAGTGGATGTGTACAAAACGCAGGGTGTCTATTTTGTGCATAGTACATACAGAGACCTTATTGGGGAAGCATGAGGAAGTAATATCGAAGATGGTATCCTTCGTGGATAAAGCTTGGATGAGGAGCCATCTTGATTTGGCTTAAAGTTGCCTACAAGGAGACCTCCATCAGCTGGATGCTCTCATGGATGGAAAAGTGATCTTTATGAAATGACCCCTTGTATCTTTTTTGAACTTCCCAGAATAGCACAGTTTGTGGTGCTGGGGCTTCAAGGGGGAAGGGAAAACTGGAGAACAGCCTCCCCCCCCTCCCAAATTTAGCAGTGAGAGCCCCTGCTAAATCTGAACCACATCTGTCACTGGGAAGGTGTCTGTCTAATGTTGGGACAGCAGATCTGGATCCAACTGCTTGTGGATGCAGAAAAGATAAACTGCCCAGAGTGAATTTATGTCATTATGAATTGCATACAGGCAAAGGGAAAAGAGGAAACAGACATACTGCCTTGTACAGCTATTCGTATATGGAGGAGATGATCCCCTTGGTTTCTTTGCCAGAATGGATTAGTGAAATAAGTACAGAATATGATATATCTACCTCGAACTGAGGCAAAGACTGTGCAAATTTATGGTCTTAGGAGAGACAAGAAGGACCAGACTGGAGGAATCTGACAGAGACTGTGACATGCATTCTTAAGATGCTATTCCACCTGTGTAAACTACCCAGCCCATTCTGGTCCTCTTGATTCTTGAATGAAATAGATAGCTTTGTTTCAAATACATATTTCCAGGCTGTCTTTCAGAATCAACCTGTTCCAAGTTGGCTTATATAAACACAACCATGAAACACAATACAATACAATATAGAAAGGTGGGCAATCAGTATGGACACTGAATGCATGTCTCAGACCAGCTCAGGAGCAGTTACCATATAGTAAACATCTGTCATCTGTAATAGGTTTTTAGTGCTCCCATTCTCTTGCATTTCAATACTTTCTCTGCCCCAGTCCTGAGCTCGAGGGTTTTTTGGATATTCAGCATATGGTGACATCTGGAAGTCTCCGCTTTTGAAGATGAATTTGCTTATGTCATTTTTATTTTTCCTGAAAAGAAAATATATTTATGACCAGATGAAAAAGACTGGAAACAAGCATAAAATGCATATATCTTTTCCATAACCATAGAGCTGCACTTTGGTATAGTGGTTAGAGGACTGGACTAAGACTGGGGAGATTTCGGTCTGAATTCTCACTTGAGCATGAATCTGAATTACTGTATCTTGGATCAGTCATTTTTTCCTCAGCTTAATTACTTAAAAGAATTCAGTGTTGAGGAGAACTCTAAGCCCCTTGGAGGAACATTAGGGAAATTGGGGGTTCCTTTAGGCAGTTGGTCATATTTCCTGTTCCCGCGAAGAGTGGTGCTGTCCAAACTAAACTAAACTAAAAGCTGGATCGCTTCTCCCCAGGATATAACTGAAATCCTTGCATAAAAGCTCTAGATATCCACTTCTGTATACCAAAGCATCTGTTTGGAACTGGTGTGTGTTTGTGTGAACTGGAAATGTAACGGAAAGCTTTTGATTTAGTTGGAGCATGACCACCTCCCCTCCCTCCGAACAGCCTCTGTCTTTGTTAACAAGAAAGAAGCAGGAAGCTATTGTCCCAAGTATTTTGGAAGACAGAACCCACGCTGACTGAGGCCGCTCCAACCACAGATATGAGGTGCGAAGTGCCATAGTCCGTAACTTTACCCCTCAGGGCAATCCAAGACAAACCATACTTAGAAAGTGGGACTAAAAAGGGATCAAAAATGTCTTTGTGTGTGTGTGAATGTTGCACTACTAAAAAGGAGAAGGGCAGTGTAATGTGGACGGGGAGGGCAATAACAGTAGCACAAAATCAAGTACATTTGGGGGGGGGGAGTTTTGTCTGGAAAGCCCTGTAATGCCAAAAACCCTTCCACAGAAGAATGGGCGAGGCTTCTCTCTAGGAGCTAATCATGCTTTTCAGCATTCATGGCATCTCTCTGTTATTATAAACACATTCCTTTTTGACATTGCTGTCCTGTAATTCTGAAACATGGAATTACAGTATTTTTTATTTTTTTTCTCAAAAATCATTTTGAAATGGTGGATGTGTATTTAATTTTAAGATTCAAAATAAAATGAAGTTTGGTCAGCAAAAACAGAATGAAAAAGGAGGTTTTTCCCCTCCTCAAAATGGAAACTTTTTTTTCAGTCTAAATAAAATAAATTAAAAACAATTAGGTGTTTGACCTAAAATAGTTACTGGCAACATGTGACTATAAGAGCGATTCCCAGGATGAGCAGGAGTCCCCCTCCAGCAGCTGCAATCACAATAGTGATTAGCTGATACGCTGAAACAAGGAACACAAAAGCGCTTCGGTTACATATGATTTCTCTTAAATATACAAGCAGTAAAATGAAATTGGCAGTCACCTTTCTCTTGTCTATAAAAATGCCCGTAATGGAACCAAGGACCAAAAGAAAACCATTTCCAATCAAGTCCTGTTCCACAGCAATACCCAGTGCAGTTTCTGAGTTGCTATAATGTTGAGGGATATTTCTAAAGCTTTTATGTCACAGAGCTGGCTGGATAGCTCAGTGGGCAAGCTGCACAGTAGTCCCAGATTGCCCCCCCCCCGCAAAAAAAGAATGGAATGGTAAACCACTTCTGAGTATTCTCTACCTGGAAAACCCTGAAAAAAGGAATGTCATAAGTCAGAATTGAATTGATGGCACTTTTATTATTATCATTATTATCATTATCATTATCATTATCATCGCCATCGCCATCGCCACCGCCATCATCATCATCATCATCATCATCATCATCATCATCATCATCATCATCATCATC